GGGGACCCCAAATTAGTCAAGCACATTCTCTGGCTCTTTAGAAAACCTAGAAAAACTTGGCTAGTTGTGCAGATGTTACCAAACTATGGTAGATGGACCAAGGTTTCCAGACTGCTCCTCAGGATCACCACTCCATGACTTTACAGAATCCTAAGGGTATCTTAAAGAATTGGCAGATGTGGATGCAATTCTTTTTGCATCACTCCCTTATAGGCCCCCAACTAGGCAGAAAAATAGATGTACTTGTTGCTAACCAATTAACAAATATATGTAGGAAACATACTGCAATAATAATGGGGGACTTTAATTTCCCTGATATCAACTGGAAGACTAATTCTGCATCAAATGAGAGATCGAAAAGGTTCCTGACAAACGTAGCTGACAACTTTGTTGTCCAAAAGGAAGAGGAGGCAACTAGAGGGATAGCCATACTGGACTTAATTCTTACTAGCAGAGAAGAAGAGGGAGTTGAAACTTCAGGAACCTTGGGTGAGAGTGACCATGTCATACTGGAATTCAACACAATGCAAATAGAAGCAATAGAATATAACCATACCAGACTCTTAGATTTTAAAAGAGCTGATTTTAATAAACTCGGAGGGATCTTTGGAAAAGTTCCTTGGATGAAAATCCTAAAGGGGAAAACAACCCAAGAAGCAACTCTGAAAAATATTATCATAAAAGTCCAGTGCAGCACAATACGACTGAAAAAGAAAAACAAGAAATCCAAGAAAAAACCAGCATGGTTGCACAAAGATCTCTCTGATAAACTGAAAGATTAAAAGGATAAACATTAAAAAGGGAAAGAGGGACACTAAGGCAGAATATCAGCAGACATCCATAATCTGCAAAAATGAAGTCAGGAAAGCAAAGGCTCAGTATGAACAAAGACTTTAACAAAAATCAAAGATAATAATAAAAAAAGTTTCTTTCAACATATAAATAACAGGAAAAAAAGTCAAGGAAACAGTCAGTCCACTAAAGAGAGAAGATGGCAGGTAGTAGACAGGTAGTAGAGAGAAAGCATAGCTGTTTAACTTATTCTTTGCAGCAGTCTTGACGCAAAAAGAAACTATAGCCCAAACTACGAAAAACATAACCATAAAAGACAGACTTGAAATAAAAATGAAAATAAGTAAGAAAATGGTAAGAGAGCAGCTGTCTGATCTTGATGAATATAAATCACTGGGACCTGACAGATTACTTCCCAGAGTACTGAAGGAGCTGGCAGATGTCATCTCAGAACCACTGTACCATGTATTTCAAAATTCCTGGAGCGCTACCTGAGGATTGGAAGAGTTGATGTAGTTCCCATCTTCAAAAAAGGGGAAAAAATCAGACCCAGAAAACTACAGACCAATCAGCCTAACATCCATCAATACCTGGAAAGATACTGGAAATAACAACAACAACAACAACAACAAAAATAGATCTGTAAACATCTAGAAACAAGTTTGTTAAAACTGATCATGCCAAATCAATTTTATTTCATTCTTTGACAAAATTAGTCATTTAATTAAATTAGTAGACCAGCGAAATGCTGTGGACATAGTATACTTAGACTTCAGTAGACCGCAACCTGCTTTTTGGTAAGCTAGAAAAAAATGGGATAGACAGCATCACCAGATGGAATTTCAACAGACTTGAACATAGGCCCCTATTTAACAAAATGAAATTCAATGTAGAGAAAAGTAAAATCTTACACTTAGACAAGAAAAACCAAAATGACATGTATGGATTAGGTGAAACCTGGCTTAATAGCAGTAACCATGACAGCGATATTGGAGTCCTAGTGGATAATCAATTAAGTATGAGCCAACAGCAGCCAAAAAAGCCAATGCAATCCTAAATTGAATTTAAAAGAGGGATTGAATCAAGATCACATGAGGTATTAGTACCAGTATAAAGTCTTAGAAAGGCCACATCTAGAATATTGCATCCAGTTTTGGTCACCATGATATAAAAATATGTTGAGATTCTAGAAAGAATGCAGAGAAGAACAACAATAATTAGGTTCCTGGAGGCTAAATATATAAAATGAATGCTTGGAAGAACTGTGAAAAGAAGGACGAGGGATGACATGATAGCTGTGTTCCAATAATTGAGGGGCTGTCACAGAGAAGAGGGGGACAACCTATTTTCCAAAGCACCCAAAGGCCAGACACGGAACAGTGGATGTGAAATAAGGAGAAATTTTGTGACAGTGAGGACAATTAACCAGTGGAACGGCTTGTCTCCAGAAGTTGTGGGTGTTTCATCACTGGAGGCTTTCAAGAAGAGATTGGACAGCTACTTGTCAGAAATGGTACAGGGTCTCCTGTTTGAGCAGGGAGTTGGACTAGATAACCTACCAAGGTCCCTTCTAACTCTGTTATTCTAAGCTTCTAAGAATGTTGTGTACTAGCCATGTATTGTACAACCCAAATATGCTTAACACAATGAGGGGAAGAGCAAGAAACCCCAAATCTGTCCAATCAGACAAATCTGAAAACTCTCGCCCTGCTTAAATGTCTGAGGCATCCTCAGCCATCTGGCATCAAATTTCCATGGTCTCCACCCAGATTAATTAATGAAGCAACAGGTCCGTCAAAAGCTTGCTTATCCCATTTTTTACATTATGGAGATAAAGCTTTTTTGGGTGGGTTCAGAGGGCTGCATCTCTTGGAGTATAATTTATTGGGCTTTGGATGTATAAGTCAAGGGGACCACCCTCTCACTTTCCAGGCCTCCTTTCTCTCCTTCCCCCCCCCCCCCTCTCTCTTTTACTTGGTGGGAAGATCTGAACCTATTTGTAAAGATGACTGAATCTGTCACTTGAAGATGCCCTTTTCATTTCTTTTCTTTCTTTCTTTGCTCAATCTATTTCAATTCTCTGCTCCCCCCTCCACTTCCCATCTCTCTATCCTGCTCTCTATCTCTCCTCCGAGTTCATGCCACAAGCATGAAATAAGCCCCCCCCCTTTTTATAGCCTTCTCAATTACAAAACTGTTAAGCAACAAATCAGCTGCTGATGGACATGACTTGAAAACAAGGTGCCTCTTTCCCTTTATTCAGTCTTGTCATCACAAAGATGATTTTCCCATCCATTTTTTTTTTGTTATCCCTTCTCCAATTATTGCCTACAATAAGGGTTTTGATTGAACTTTCCAGGGACGAGAGTAGCCACTTTCAAGGCTAGTTGTTTCTCATAGCACATCAATTAAGGCAAACTGCAAAACCAATATAAATTAAACTGCGAAAGATGCTGACCAAAGGAATTGTGTACTCCTACTGGGACAAAAAAGAATTTCTGTATTTTTCTGTGTATATACACAGTCACGCACGTGGGCACGTGCACACACACACACACACACACACATGCATGAATAGAAATAAGAAGTGTTTTCAGATTAGTAGGAAAATTATCCAAAATGGTTAAGAAATATGTTTAAAGTCAATATTGCTATTCCAATTTTTCCTGGCATATTGTCAGAACTATAATCCAACGTATATTTCAACCTCATGGCCAAGATTCAGCAAAGGCCATGAGGTTGAAATATATTCTGGTACATGGTACCCTAGTGGTTTCTTCCAATGCTGTAACCCTTTTGAATTGAGGATTTCTGTGGGTGGTAGCCTCAGCTGTGCTTTCTCCGTCCTCCAATACTTTTTGCCCTTCTTACCCTGTCACCCAATAGCAAAAGCTTTCTTTCCTTTATCACCTCTGAAGCCTTGTCCACATCTGGCCGACTCTTACAGAAAAGTGATGAGTGCAATTTATATATATATATATATATAAAGGCATGAAAATAAAAGTATAGCATGATGCAGATATGATCCTGCACCCCCTTTTATGACCCTGATAATGGAAGTTACTCTGCATCTAGGCAAGGAGGTAAAAAACTAGCCCTTTTTTTCCTCACAACAAAAACCTTGTCCCAAATTAAGTTCCCCAATGGCTGTTTTCTTCTTCCAGAGATATGCAGGGCAACAATCCAAGCCCACTGCCATAATAACTGGAGGGAGGGGGAAGAGAAAAGACCATGTCAGTGAAAATTATGCTATAGCCTACAGTGCTGAAACTATGTCTCTTCAATGAGTAAAAAAGGTTCAGTGGGTGCATTATGCTTCAGTCCTTTGAAAGTAGCTTGGGCCAAAACTGTACTAGCAACTACTGGGAGAAATGGAAAGAAGGAGAGATGATCTACAGCAGTGGTGTCAAACTGGATTTCTTGGAGGGCCGGATCAGTATTGTAGTTGTTCTCCGTGGCCTGGCTGGGGGTGGGGTGGGGGGAAGAAGACAGGACAGAGGCCATCCTGCAGCATTCTGCCGGCCAAAATGAGATGTGGGGGGCCATGGGCGCCCTGTTTTTGGCTTGAATGGCCTCCTGCTGCACCCTGCCAGGCAAAACCGGTCACCCGCCCCCCTGTGCCCTATTTTTACTACCAGAGGCACCATGGGCCAATCCTTTGCTATTTCCAGGCTGGCCCTGTGGACCAGATCTAAGCACCCTGCAGGCATTGAGTTTGACATCCCTGATCTACATGATCATGCATCAAATCTGCTAATCATGGGTTTCTTTCCTCACAAGTAAAGGAGTGAGGCTACCCTCACAGGGCTCTTCCTTTCCCCAGTTCCTAGTTCCCCCAGAGATGGCCTTCCAATATTTATTCCTTGCTGTTTTTCTCTCCTTTGCACTAATGCCGTAATTTGCAACTGAGAGAAACAACAACATGCTGAGTAGCAGGTGTTGTCCACAGCTTATGCTTTCCACTGTTGCTGAGCATATTGTGCTTATTATGTTGTATTTAACTAACAAAATCAAATAAGTGGGAAGGATTTGTTGTTGTTGGTCTGTTTTATTCCATCTGTGCTGAATTTCAAAAAAAAAAAAAATGAACTAGAGAACGCCAGCTTTCTGCTGGAACTGAACCATTTAATCCAGCTCCTTGATTCCCTAGAAATCACCCAAATTTGAAATCAGCTAGATGTGAGGTGACTTCCTTCTCACGCACTCACCCGGCTGTCAGAACTTGGAGCCATGGTGTCTGTCATCCAAGAGCCAAATCTGGATCCAGATGCTCGGATAGTAATGGGGTTGCTTATTCCAGTGAGTTTTCCACAACCTGAAATGCAAAATAGAGGAGACACAGAGAACGAGAAATCTTTCTCCACCTCTGAATTAAATCTTTCTTCTCCCCCAACCACCCTTTCTCCAACACCCTGAGTCAATGGAAAAATATAGTAACATGAAATATGCCATTTTATTGCTCTTCTCTCAAGTCACTGACACTGACATGAATTCCCTTCCAAGGTATGAGTGACAATATCAAAAAGGTTTCACACAGCTGCCCTTAGAAAATGCCAGAATGGGAAAATGCTGCGTTAATATTGGTGCAAGTTAAGGATAATTTAAACCTGTCTCATTGTGGGCTGGCAACTTAATGACAACTTAAAGAGATGCTACTAGGGCATGTTTGTTCTGTTTGTTAGATGCAAGCAGGGAATGTCCTACTGTGGCCTAGAAGCTAGATTTGTTTTCCAATCAATCTTGTATCTTTTATTAGCCCTAGAGACACTGTGTCCTCATTAAAAACAGAAAAATGTGGACTTTTATTTTACAGTAGGGCCAAATACTAACAACAAGAAAACTACAATAACACAATCCATAATCCCAGGAAAATATGTAAGTAATGAACTGTTAACATTCTTAAATTTCAATAGCTTAAAAATTAATTCGTGCCCAATCATTCCACTGTCCTTTGTTTTCTCAATAGACCATTTCCTCTGTTCTTCTTTTAATTTTACCTGGAAGACGAGCACTTTTTAATCACTCTCTGCTACAAATAATTCCAATTTATGAGGTTTAAAAAATATAAATAAGGAATTATATCTACCATGTGTATTTGTCAAAAGAAGACTGTTAACACTATTGACATTTAACATTATTGTTACATGATATATGAAATTAATTCTGAAAGCGCACTCTGAAGATGTTGAGATCCCTCACAAATTATTAAAAGTTAAGATTCTGCAGCATTTGGCATACAGTTCCCAAAAAGTGATTTGATGCATGCCAGATAGCATGGCCTGCAACTTTTAAAATCAAAGACATTTTTCCCCAGATCACAAGAAGCTGCAATTGCATGATCTTGGGAAAAGATGTGGCTGCTTTAAAGAGCTGCAAATATGTATTAGGTTTGGTCTCCCATGTATTCTAAAGTATCTTTAAGGAATCACCTTAACCCTAACCAAAAATGGCCCAGAAAACAGTCTGAAAACGGCCCAAAAATGCCCTGCAAATGCTCCCCAAAAAGGCCTGAAAACATCCTGAAAAACATCCTGAAAATGGCCTGAAAAATGGCCTGGGTTTTTTGGCCATTTTGGGGGCCATTTTTGAACCATTTTTTGGGGTGTTTTCAGGCCATTTTGGGGGCCATTTTTCAGGTCAAAAATGACCCAAAATGGCCTGTAAATGCCCCCAAAATGGCCAAAAAGAGGCAAAAAATGGGTGGGAGTGGGGCCAATCAGCGGTGGGATTAGCTTCAACTGGCTGAATCCTATCTCTGTCTTTGAGGTGAGTGGCCAGGAGGCGGGGCTGAGTGTGATGAGTGATGTCACTCACCCAGTCACATGACCAACCGGCCACACCTACCCAGCCAGAGAACTGGATGTTAAGTCATTCCAATCCCACCACTGCATATAACCCTACATTGTAACATTGTGTTGTTGCCAGCCAATCAAGATACAAAAAGAGCCAAAAAACAGACAGAAGATATTAGAAACACCAATCAAGCAGAACACAGCCAACTCCAAGACCAATAAACACAGACCAAGACTCTCAACCAATCAGGATGAAGAAAAAACCATTCTGGCACAGCAATAGGCTGCCCCAAATTCAAATCTGAAACCACTGTAAAAGCCTGACTCACAGATGAACACTATACAGAAGCCTGATGATGGCAGATGAGATTCTGCTGAAACGTCACTACAACTTTAAAAGCACAACTATGACGTGGGAAAATACCCGAACAAAGCTGAATGCCATACATGTAAGTACCTGCGAAAACTTAAGAAAACATACATACATACATACATACATACATACACATATACATATACATATACATACATATATACATATATGCATACATACATACATACATACACACACACACACACACATATATATATATATATATATATATATATATATATACATATACATATACATATACATATACATATATATATTTGGTTATTCTTTAAAACATCTGTACTTTGGAATATATTTGAATGTTGTTGTTTTTTCCCACTTTTTATCCCATTGCTCATCATGAGGAAAATGTCAGCAACTTCTCCAAAAGGCGCTGGATGGTCAGCGAGGTTCGGGCAATCCCCCATTTGTGATCTCTGGCTGGGCCCGCCCACCTGCTCTTGTGCTATGCTTTCCCTAAATAACTAACTTTTCCCCCGCCCAGGCGAGTGCCGCACTGCCCTGCTATACTTACTGGAGCTGCCTGAGTCAATTAGCTGCCTGTTTGAAGCTGCGTTTCAGCCCCAAAGCGGTGCGTGTGAGCAAAGCAAGTGAGCCCACATGGTCACGGCCAGCGAACCCCTTGTCAACAAAAGTGCAGCCCACTTCTGCCAAAAGGCTCTAGTGAACAGAGTGAGCTACAAGTCTTGATCTACTGATGAAATTAAGAAAACTTTCAATAACCTGCAAGATTTTCAAAATGCTACCAAAGCTTTTCCAATACATGTTGCTGTCAGCAGAGAAAGACTAGGCGGATACCCTCTCCTTATTCAATATGTAGAAACTAACCAGATTGGCAGGTGAATGTTTATTCAATTCTGGAAATGAGGGCACTGCAACTCTAGAGAACAGTCTACCTTAGAAGGCCCTCCCCACCAAATTGCTACCCTCAGCTTTCAGCTGCTGCTGCCTCAGGCGGTTACTTCACTCTCCTTTTGGCCTATGGCATCCCTGCAAATTTGGGTACATTTTGTTCCCTTGGCTGTGGTCTACGTGCCCAGCTACATGGGCTGAAGGGAACCAGAGAGACATATATAAATGTTCAGCAGAAGCTTAGCTGCCTGTTTTTTGAGAATCATTATGTTTTGGAGAGTTCCTACTTCATGCAATATCAAATGAAAGTTCAATGGTCAAATTCTATGTGGTTTTTTTGACCCAACCTCCCCCCCTTTGTTTTTAAGGGATAGGGCAAACAGCAAGCAGATTAAATGGAAAAACCATGCTGAACTGGGTATAACCAGGAAAGAAGCATGGTTCCTTTGCTTTTAAAAACAAACATGTGGAGATATGAACAACTCCTGTCTATGAGCATCCAAGCTTCAAGAAACAATCTTAAAAGGAAGTAAGAATAACAACTTCCTGTTGCATGCAATGAGAAAGCAAGACATTGCTTTATGGTGAATTCAAATCAGTTCATTAGCTCATTATTATTTGTACCAATTTCCACTGGCTCAGTCTCCCCTGGTTACTCTGAACTTCATCTTTAGGGATCCTTGACTGCTGGCTGGGAATGATGGGAGATGTACCTTAACCTATTGGGAGAGCATCAGGCAGGAAAGACAGGGACACTTCCAGATCTTCTTGGGATCTGAGCCACCAAATTCTTGCACATACAAGATGTGCTCTAGGACTAAGCTACTGCTCTGGATGGCTATCTCTACTTATAGGAAGGCTTATAAAGGTAGCACAGTGCTTATCTTGAGCCTCCTGCCTTCTTTCACTCTTGGGCATACCTTTGTTCTCTGCTTACACTACTTTCTGTTATTTTACCTTGCTTTCACTGAAATTCGGTGAAATTAAGGCTGGGAGAAATTACATAGGCCAAACAAAACTCCATTTCCAGGTTAGTCTTTGTTCCTTTTTGCCTGCCACTACTGATAAAAATTACACGTCCAAAACATTTTTGCCCAATGGCAGATAAAACTGTGCAAGCAGGTTAGGCAGATTTGTATTAATAACAACTCAGTTATGTGAGTGTTGCCTAGATATATCATACAGAAAGCATTTGAAAAATATCCTTGTTGTGATTATGGTGTTGGCACAGTTATTCGCAAAGATAACTGGCAACCATCAATCACAACCCCTGGGCAAGCAATTTTTGTGGGCAAAAAAAGAACAAGAGCCCTAATGTGTAAAATCTTCAGAGCTTATAATAAGACACCGTTTTATTTTATCTAGCAAAATATCATGCACACTGGCAGTTATAAAAATAGTGACAATAATAGTACCCAGACTTCCTATTTCAAGTCTGCTACAGGCAAAATGAGAAAAATATCACCTACTCTCAGTCTGGAGATCCCTGGTTAATCTCTAAACAAGATAATTGGCTCATGAAAGATGGGAAGCTATTACAAAAATTTCAGTTGTGAAAGAACTCTTCAGATCCTACTAACCCAATTTCAAGCTCCATTCTGCTTTTTTGTATTCTGTCTCCAAGGGAAAATATGATCAACACAGTTGAAAATCTGATCAATAACCTGAATCATCCTGAATAGACAAAATTATCAAATCCCCTGGGATAGTTTGCATTTTTGGCAGGAATATTGGATGGTGGTGGTGGTTGTTATTTAGATCATGTTTTAAAGCATCGTGCTAAAGTTCTGGACTGTTGTTAATTCCCACTCCAGAGGAGTAAAGCTAGTCTCCTTAGAATTAATTTCCATGGTCAGCTGATGTGAGGAAAAGATGGCAAGTCTATTTGAAACTGGAACTTCAGACCAGGTAATTATGCTTGGCAGACAGGAAAGTGGAGTTATAGGAAGTTAGCACCCACCCCTCTCCTAGAAAATTGAAATAGCCTAGGAAATATTAAAAAGGCAGAATATTTCCTCTAAAAAGAGTAAAAACTCAGAAGCAGAAACTCACCCCCACCTTTGTTAATGGGTGGGCCATTAAGGCCTGGGCCAGAATACTTTACATAAGAAAGATCTCCAGGTAAAGCTATAGCAATTGCCAAAAGCCCTTTTAAGGGCATAAATCATCCAGCAAGGCTAGACCAAGCCTGGAACTCAGGACAGCCTACAGAGTTGCCCATGGGAGTCTGACAACCAAGCAGAATACAAGCTCAAATTCAAATCCCAACAGAGGGTATAAAACCTAGGCACTCTCAGCACCTCAGTCCTTTTTTATCAATCTCTTCCCTTTCACTCTGGAGCTCCAGGCCACGTGGTCCTGTCCACCATTAAACCTTCCAAGCAGCCTCCATGTTTCCAGTGTCTTTTTCCCCACTTAGAACTGAACCCAGAAGGATATTTCTTTCAACAGAGTAAGCTACCTGTAACTCTTGACTATATTTCTTGCAACCAAGACCTACACGAGATGAACAGGCTTTCATTTAACCATCATGATCTATGTCCAATTTGTGAAGGAGAACTGGACTTCTTTCAGGTGTAAAGAAATCCCCAAAAGGCTGGAATGCATGCTGCATTGCAAAGGGTGGCTCAGCTCATTGAAGAGGAGAGAAAAAAAACCTCGGAATGTCTTACCTAACTTCTGCATGCAAGCATGCAACCGAGCTTCCAAAATCAGCACTCGTTGTTGGAGTTCCTCGTAGTCATAGGCACCCATCTCTTCCTGGATCTGAAGCAAGCTGCCTGAAAGGTTTCTCACTTCCTCTTTGAGCTGCACGATGGTGCGAGTGTCAGACTTATACTGATCCAATACAGGAATAAGAGGCATCAGTTCCGTCATTTTGTCCTTGAGCTCCTGCAAGTGGAGACAAGAAAAATCCAATGAAGGGGAGCAAAAGGAGGAGTGTAACACGGTCACATTTTAAATTAACAGAGTTGGAAGGGACCTTGTAGGTCATCTAGTCCAACCCCACCCCTCCCTGCCCAAGCAGGAGACCCTACACCATTTCTGATTAGATGGCAGTCCAGTCTCTTATTGAAAAACTCTGACTTTGTTACGATTTGACCATGGGAACTTGCACTCTTTACTAGACTGGAGTTTTTGATGCAAAGCATACGTCCTACATGAACTGAAAATAAGGAGAAAATAAGCAATGAAACAATGCATAATTCCTTCCCCTTCTGGCAGGAATAGGACAGTTGAAAGTGCAGTCAGCTAAATATGGCTTCCTTCAAAATGAACTATTTTTCCAATACTTTTCAAAGAACAGTAAAGGAATGCAAAATAATATATATATTTTGCATTTTCCAAGTATTCTTCATGAAGTCAGGTCATTTTTATTACTTAGTGAAGAGTTCTTGGAACTTCCAAAGGTTGCATTGCAATGTTTACTAAATCTTAGGGTTCATTTTATGAATATTATCTTAATAAGATATTTTTCCACCTCAAGATCCTTTTAGGTGAATTCCTTCCTTCCTTCCATCCTAAATTACTTACTTAATTCTAAACTGCTCATCTCCCTCAAAGAGGAGTTCTGTCTGGTGTATAGTGAAATATAACAGATAAATAAAACAATGTATATAAATTAACATTAAAATTAAATTAGGATTAAAAAATTTAAAATGATAGACTACTGGCAATTAAACATCAAAAGGGTAAAAATCCAAAGACAGCCATTTAATTTTGGTCATTACAAGGTGGGGGGAGGGTATCTCATGAGACTAGTCAGTCCCACAGTTGAGAGGGCCTCTGTGCCCTCCACGCAAAGCCAGACAGCCAAGATTTAACCAGGAAGGCCAAGAGATTGGGGACTTTCTTCATATCAGGGGGTAGAACACTTCACAATGTGAAAGCAGTGACAGAAAAGGCTGTCAAATAAAATTCTGGGACTGTCTTTGTTTTTTATAGCCCAGTTTAAAGTTAAGGTTGGACATTCTACTCATGGAATCCATATCCGCCTTCCTGTTTTTTTCAGTCAAGTTTGCATATATGCACCTATGTACATAGGCACATGAGCACGCACGCACACACACACACACACAAACACACATAAGAAATCCTTACCCCTAAGCTTCACTTTCGCTTTATGTAAGTATACAAGTATAATGAACATATATGTATTGCTAATAAAGAAAAGATTAGAGAAAGCAGGTTTGCCAAACGTTAACATGTGCTGATCTACATATAAAAACCAAATTTGAAAAACAGTATTTCAGACTCAGTGGAAATGCAATGGATGGAATCAAGTATTGTGTGTACCTATTCAAACTGTTCTTTGTCTGCTAACTGTATGGCTAGCTCTCCCAGTTTACAGTCACTTTTAAATCAGAATTGGACCAGATAGCCAATAAAACAATGCCGGACTATCTCCATTAAACAAGGCTTGAGAGTTATGCCTTGGGAAAGCATAGATTCTTGGAGACACTCCTATGATTGGTATAAATCAACCATTTTCTCCCTTCAACATTACTTTGTTTACAATTCGACTTCTCCTTTGAAACTTACAATAATAGCATGACATTTACTATGAATTTTCAGAAGTAGTCCTATGTTCATGCAAAGGTCAGCTTGATTCATGTTCTTTCCAAAGTTTCCAGAAAAATTATGAAAGAGAAAGAGAGAAATGGGGAGAGGGAAAAAGAAAGAAAGAGAGAGAAAGACCTGACATATCATATAGAAACACATGTTAGAATGAAAACTTACTGATAAATTTAGGTTGCGCTCTTATCTAATGTACCTAATGTTTAGTGAAGAAATACCACTGTGAAAATTAGTATTCTTATTTTACAGCAAGATTATTGATTTGAACCAGTGTACTGAATGTCTTTATGCATACTTCATTATTTCCCTGTAAGAAAGACGGCTCTAAAATGGATGACATCAACTTAAACCGCAACCTAAGCCAGGGAGCACCAATAAACAGCAACAATACAATTAAAACAACCAATAAATAAGGTCAACCCAGAATACAAACATACTGATAATTCATCATTATTCGTTATTAGGAAGCTGGAAAATATGGAAAATTCTAAAAAATAAAATTGAACATCTAAATAGGAGGAACAGAGACTTGCTGTAATGAGAACTTTCAATTAGCAGAAGACCTGAAAGGAAATGTGACTCTATAAATTTACTATCCTCATACCCATTTTACAGAAAGAGTAAAAAATATGTAACATATTTTAATACCATCTCCAAAAGCCTTTAATATATATTCTACTGGTTTAATTAGAATTACTTCCTGGAAAAACCAAGGGGAAAATATCATGTACAATAAAACACACTTTATTTATGCCCATCTGTTTCAAAGCAATCACACTCATGTATTACATTATTGTGCATCATCTAACTCCCAAAAGATAGATATTATAAATAGAAATTTAGCAAACTGCTGCAACTGGGAAGGAGTATAGTGACACAAAGCATCTGTTGAAAACATGGCAATAAGATACAACTTTTCTATGAGGCTTTCCAGACTGCCAGTACACCATTTTTCAAATACACTTTACAGTGTCTTTTAAATCTATTCTAAACACAGCCAGCAATATTTACTTTTTAAAATCTATGCTCAGGCTACTATATCAGGGCTTTAAAACTCTGATTGGCCACTAGCAGATAGTATAAACTCTTTGTTCCAACCTGGCTATCTGGAGTTTTGTAGCCAAGATAAAAAAGCCTAATCTATGCTGATTTTCATACCACTGTAATGTCTGTATAAGTGTTAAGCCTGTGGAGAACATCATTTTTTGTTGCAGATAATTCCAAGCAAGTAAATATATGATTGCCCTTTGCACCCACTGATCCTCTTCTCCAATGCATCCAGTGATCATCCTAGGCCAAGCCAAGTCCATAAATGCTAGGGAATTTCTAGAAACCTGCTACTCTGACAATTAGATAATAGAGATATAGACATAAACAATATATTCAGGCTATGCAAAAGAGACAATCAACAAGCCAAAAAGCAAACAAAAAGATCAAGCCATCTTCCCACCAGCAATTAGCACCCAAAAGAGCACATATTAGCTCCAAGATTAATATCAGACCAACAATCATGAAGTAAATAATATCACAATCAAGGAACTGACAAACAAACAGTAAACAGCCCAAACAAAGAACTTCCAAGACCACTCCCACCAACGTTGACAGGGAAAGCCATTAGATCAGGGGTGTCAAACTCAATTTCATTGAGGGCCGCATCAGGGTTGTGGTCATGGCCAGCTCGACATCACTCATGTTGGGGGTGCCTGTGGCGGCCCAAGTACTCTGCCAGCAAAATGGGCTCCCAAGCTCTACTTTCGTTTCTGATAGCCTCTTGCAACCCCCGGCCAGCAAAAATGGAGCACAGGAGGGCCATCTGCCCCCCCCCGAGCTCTGTTTTTGCTGGTAGAGGCATGAGGGCTGGTCCTTCTCTGTTTCCAGGCTAGCCCCATGGGCCAGATCTAAGCACTCCATGGGTCAGATTTGTCCCCCGGGCCTTGAGTTTGACACGGCTACACTAGAATATAAACTGAGAGCAAACTCCACTCCTTATAAGCACTGATGATGTTACCTAGTTTGGGTAATGAAATGTCTGCAAGAAAACTACCAAGCCCAGAGACTACCAAGGACCACTCAATTCTTTCACCTGCAGAACTGATATGGATGTTTCCAGTACAATAATGGTAGCAAACTAGATTTCAAAGGGAAAAATTAGAAAAAACAGACAAATATTGGTTTAGATATGGAATGACCCTAAGTCTGGAATGTTGTCAGCATGTTAGACATTCTGCTGGCAACATAAAAAGATACCTGGAATGTCTCCTTCATCATCTGATAATGATGAAAACCTACCTCTTAAATTTTATCCTGAAATAGAATAACTTGGCTTCTCTGCTCTATCTAAGTCATGAGGCTCTATGAGATTCATAAGCCATTTTAACTTATCCATATCCTTGTTGAACATAGATTGTATTTCCTCCTAGACTATTTCTGTAGAGTAAATGAATTATTGCCATGAAGAAAAAAGATTAGAACCTGTGTGAATGCCTCTCCAGTAGGATTTTAGCAATTAGAATGTGTGTGTGTGTGTGTGTGTGTGTGTGTGAAATTGGGTTAATAACTAAACTTATTTCAGCTTTCTTCTCACCCAAACACATAAATGTTTTTTTTCCCTTCCTTCCATCCCCTAATGGAGATCAATGGGTTTATTATACATTGTTTACTATGGCCACCAAGCTCCTAGAATACAGATGGCTTCATAAACATGCAGAAGCATTATTTGCCTCCCAATTCAAAGTTAATAACTATTATGGTGCTCAGCTAACTTCATTTTTACAAGCAGCTCAAGAGCATAGTCTAAAAGTTGAATCATTTTCTTCACTTGTTCAGGATGGTAAGTGAGACTAAAGTGAAGATAGGCTCCCTCCGCTGGTTCAAAATAAGGATGCCAGCCAGTCCATTATAGGTTATAAGTCTTTATCAAGAAATAACAAATCATACCTCTTTCTTTTTTGTGTAATGGAGAGGAGCCTCTGAAACCACATTATAGATTATTTGGCATCCTGCTTATAATACTAGCAAGAATCAGCTCCCCAGAGAGGCAATAAAGATGTAAAATTGAAAGGCAGCTATTTAGAAATACTACCTGCTATTTTCTTCTGATATTGAGAAGCCTATGTTAAGGGTCATCCTAAGCACATTTCCAGCTCTAGACTAAAAGTCAATGTCTATTTTCTTTCGAATACAGTTAATCTTTCTGAAGACACACCAGCTTCTGGAACATTAATATCAAGAAAGGAATAAAATACCTTATCACAGAACTCCTCTTTCCTGTATGGAGCTACAAATTAATTAAAATTAGGGCTGGTGGAGAGAAA